CTGAACAGCAACAAGACAGAGGCAATGCTGATAGGCAGTCCCCTGCAGCTTCCACCCTGTCATAGATGGCCCCATCATCATCATCATCATCATCATCATCACCTCCTGCAGCTTCCATCCTGTCATAGATGGCCCCATCATCATCACCTCCTGCAGCTTCCATCCTGTCATAGATGGCCCCATCATCATCACCTCCTGCAGCTTCCACCCTGCCATAGATGGCTCCATCATCATCACCTCCTGCAGCTTCCACCCTGTCATAGATGGCCCCATCAACATCACCTCCTGCAACTTCCACCCTGTCATAGATGACCACCTCATCCCTCTCTCCTCAGTCATTGATAATTTGGGTGTGAAATTCGACCCTGCGCTCTCCTTCAACGGCCATGTTAGTCACGTCTATAATACGTTGTTCTTTCACTTGAAGAACATCTCCCGCCTAAGACCCCGTCTCATCACATCACACCTAATCTATGCATTCATTTTCTCCAGGATTGATTATGGCAGTACTTGAGGGCCTGCCTGCTAATTCAATTCATAAACTACATCTCATCCAAAACCGTGCTGCTAAGATTCTGACAAACAAACAAAAAATATCTTCCCACATTACATTTACATTTACATTTTAGTCATTTAGCAGACGCTCTTATCCAGAGCGACTTACAGTTTAGTGAGTGCATACATTATATTTTTCATACTGGCCCCCCGTGGGAATCGAACCCACAACCCTGGCGTTGCAAACGCCATGCTCTACCAACTGAGCTACATCCCTGCCGGCCATTCCCTCCCCTACCCTGGACGACGCTGGGCCAATTGTGCGCCGCCCCATGGGTCTCCCGGTCATGGCCGGCTACGACAGAGCCTGGATTCGAACCAGGATCTCGTGGCACAGCTAGCCTTAGACCACTGCGCCACTCGGGAGACTTAGCCACATCACCCCCCATCCTTGCTGCTGTCCATTGGCTACCTGTTCCTCAAAGAATTGACTATAAAATTATCCTCCTGGTCTACAATTCCCTAAATGGCATCGGACCCACCTACCGGTCAGACCTACTCTCCCCCTATGAACCTAAATGGTATCGGACCCACCTACAGGTCAGACCTACTCTCCCCCTATGAACCTAAATGGTATCGGACCCACCTACCGGTCAGAACTACTCTCCCCCTATGAACCTAAATGGTATCGGACCCACCTACAGGTCAGACCTACTCTCCCCCTATGAACCTAAATGGTATCGGACCCACCTACCGGTCAGAACTACTCTCCCCCTATGAACCTAAATGGTATCGGACCCACCTACCGGTCAGAACTACTCTCCCCCTATGAACCTAAATGGTATCGGACCCACCTACCGGTCAGAACTACTCTCCCCCTATGAACCTAAATGGTATCGGACCCACCTACCGGTCAGACCTACTCTCCCCCTATGAACCTAAATGGTATCGGACCCACCTACCGGTCAGAACTACTCTCCCCCTATGAACCTAAATGGTATCGGACCCACCTACCGGTCAGACCTACTCTCCCCCTATGAACCTAAATGGTATCGGACCCACCTACCGGTCAGAACTACTCTCACCCTATGAACCTAAATGGTATCGGACCCACCTACCGGTCAGACCTACTCTCCCCCTATGAACCTAAATGGTATCGGACCCACCTACCGGTCAGACCTACTCTCCCCCTATGAACCTCCATGCACCCCATGTTCAAACCACGCCAAACTCCTCCATGACCAGGATCCGCACAACGGGGGACCGGGCCTTTGCCTCCTATGCACCACGCCTATGGAACTCCCCTCCTGATCATCTCAGGGCTGTTCAGACTGTTGGGGTTTTTAAAGCTGGCCTTAAGACTCATCTCTATCAGCTGGCCTGCCATTATAGCCTTCCTCCTAGACTTTGATAATTGCTCTCATTTCTCCATTTTATGCACTTTTAGATTATTTTATGATTAAAAGCACTTTACAAATGTAATGTAATAAGTGATTATTGATGATGGAGGGGCACCTCTACTGAGGACCTGCGTCACAACGCCAGGAGGTTGAGCCTACCATCACCCCACGCAGACCCAGCTACAACCAGAGGGGGCGATGGAGCGCAGGGGTTTCCCTACTCTGTGCAAAACACTGTACCCACATTACACAAATAATGCAACAACAAAAAAAACACATTAATTTTGGTTATCAGTAGGACACAAGAAAATTCTAAAATGGTTTTGTTTGGGTCAAGTCTCAGAAATCCTAGACCCCATGCTGGAACATTGTTAATGTAGGAGGCAACCGGTCTGCCTTAGGGAGACTAGTTGGGTCACAATCGGTCCAAAGGCAGCCACTGCCCACTCAGTACACCCCTGGACAACATGAAAAAGACATAGGCCGGTGTCCAACCCCCTGACTACAGAATAAACACAACCTATAGTACTACCTAAATATATTTTATATTAACCCAAGATAGACCACAGCCTGTCGCTTCCAATGGGAGCAAATTAATTAGTTGGCAGAACAAGCGAGGTGGGCGGAGCCACGCACGCGCTAGCAAAGATCCTATTGGCGCCGTTCTAGCATGTATTTGCATATTTCGATTAAGGGGAACGCCTAATCTATGAAGTGCGCGTGTGCAATAACTAAATTCACCCTTGCACTCCTAAATCAACGCAATTTGAAAGTCTACAAAAATATATATATATATATATATATATTTTTTTTAAAAACACCTACGTAACAGATTCTAGTTTTGGGAAGAGAAAACTATAGAGATCACATTTTTCGTCGATGAGAATACAAGCAGTACAATTCTCCCACAGCGCTTCTACTCATCGCCATATCTGGTGGTGAGGAGAAACGCCTACCAGATGAGTCAGATTTATACATCTGGTGAAACATCTGGCTCATTGTTCTATGGTCCTAATCACATCCATATACTGTATAGAGGGCTGGGCCAATGCGCTTTTGTCTGAAAGTTACCGAGAGCGTGACCTTATCCTCCACAGTTTAAAACCTATGAAGATGTCTAGTGAAAGCAGATATGCAATTTGCTGACACCACAGACAGATACATATTATCCTGAATGCTAATCAATAAAAACGTCCTTAAATTCGCTACTCCGTTTTGCTTGCTTTCATAGGGAATTGTCGGAGGCGCTTTCGTATTAAGAATAAAAAGCCGCAGTCGCTGTAAAACCTGGCCGAACTCTATTCATGGGTCGTTCTACACAGGTGGTGTAAATTGGGGGTTAAAGATATATATATATATATATTAACTAAAATAAAGTCACATGTATCCTATATTGTCACAACCTTTCAGCACGCGTCTTCCAACATGTCAGGTAGACACACACACACACCTTACTGTATTGCATATTTGAAATATTTATCTGAATTTCTTACCAACCCACTAAATTTGTCACTGTAAAGAAGTGAGAACCATGCACAGTAGTGATCATTTTGATTAACCGATTACAGATTCATTCAAGAAAACGTTATTTGCATACCAAATTAACAAAAGAGTAAAAACATTTTGAACTGGATTTTTAAAACTTTTGAATTGTGAAATGGAATTTCTATTTTTCTGTCAAATGTTCAATGTTGACTGTATGAATCTGAAACTTGGATGGATAAGTAATTCAATGTTCATATTCGTCGCCAAACCCACTGGCTCCAGGCCATCTATAAATCACTGCTAGGCAAATCCCCGCCTTATCTTAGCTCATTGGTCACCATAGCAGCACCCATCCGTAGTCTGCGCTCCAGCAGGTATATCTCACTGGTCATCCCCAAAGCCAACACCTCCTTTGGCCGCCATTCCTTCCAGTTCTCTGCTGCCAATGACTGGAACGAATTGCAAAAATCTCTGAAGCTGGAGACTCTTATCTCCCTCACTAACTTTAAGCATCAGTTGTCAGAGCACCTTACCGATCACTGCACCTGTACACAGCCCATCTGAAATTAGCCCACCCAACTACCTCATCCCTATATTGTTATTTATTTTGCTCATTTGCACATCATCTCTTGCACATCTATCATTCCAGTGTTAATACTAATTGTAATTATTTTGCACTATGGCCTATTTATTGCCTTACCTCCATAACTTGCTACATTTGCACACACTGTATATATTTGTGGTATTTTTGACTTTGTTTTGTTTTACCCCATATGTAACTCTGTGTTGTTTTTAAATCGCACTGCTTTGCTTTATCTTGGCCAGGTCGCAGTTGTAAATGAGAACTTGTTCTCAACTGGTTTACCTGGTTAAATAAAATAAAATCAGTCAAGACATGCAGTCATTTTTCAGTTCTTGTATTAGTAGTTACTGACAGTAAGAAATGCCACCCCATGTCTATTTTCTGGTTGGAGTTGCGCCACATCGTTTAATTTCAGTTCTCTTTTTTGGAACTGAGAAGCCAAGAGAGCGTGACAGGTGGAGGCAAACCCTTTTCTACAAACACGTCACTTCCTTGATTGTGACGTTCTGACCAGTACGTAGTAACAGATGCAGCCTGAAACCTTCTTTCATGTTGCAGCCACAGATACATTTACGGTTTAAAAACATTGGGCCAATTTCCTATGAAATATGGCTGCACAGTAGGTACCTTACATCATGAAAGGCAATTTGCTGCCGAAACCGTCGCACCTGGTTTTCTATGTTGAAGATCGGAAACCTGTCGATTCAATGAGATACGTACATCAATCTTATGAAACCGTTAGGATTTACATTTTATATATATATATATATTTTGGGGAAATAGGCGTAAAAATATATATTTTTTTAAAAGACACTGAAACAGTGTGACGGAAGTTGCAGCTGGTGGATGAGGTGAGGAAAGTATCGCCACACAAAGTTATTGGCGCATCTAAATCCAATCCATCATTTTTAATTTCTTTGCGGTTTTCCAAGAATTTCAGTGCCTTGGAATGTCACGTGACATTTGAGAAGCACATCAAAAGAGAAACAAATATTAGCTGAATCATTGACTAGCAGGGCTTTTTTTTAACTAGCTGGCTAGACCGAAGTCATTTCTTCATTCATCTTTACTGGTTTCCTCCCATCCCCTGCCACCTTCTCAAACTGGATTGGAGAAGAGGAATTTGGAAAGAGTCGTGTCCTACTCTAGCAGCGCCATGTGTCCCAACAGGGAACGAGAGATATGGGAGTGGCCTACTCTAACCATGCTACCAACAGGGACTTTTTGGCGGATGTGGGTCATGCAAAAAACAACTCTGGAATGTTTATTACATTCCCCTCAGATTACTCCCAGGATCACACCATGGGCTATGTTCTGCTAGAGTTAGATTGGTGAATTTCCACTGTCAAAATGAGGCCAAACTCCTAGGCACTGTAACACAACTTACTAAAGTAGCACCCTCAAACCAAGGAATCTGAATCCGTGGCAACAGTACTTCTAGATAAGGGGAAGGCAGTACCTTGACCATCTGCTTGAAACCTCTTTTTGGTTGAAAATGTGTCTTTTCAGCGTCGTGCTCACTGAGCATCTGGGAATGGTCAGATTTCTGGCCATAACAATTAGCTCAACATAAGTGTTTAAAGTAGTAAGCTAACCGGTTAGTAAAACCCTTTGACATCAAAATGTGAGTACCTTCTGCGGTAATTTCAACTATTCTATACTTTGAGGATGAGCCAAAAGGAACAGCCTTTTGGGCCATGCACCTTGGTCATCCAGCCAAAGAAAAATAAATACCAAAATGGAATCATTAGAGATTGTTTTGTTTTTCAAAAAAACATTTACATTGTACATTATATACATACAGATATCTGTTAGAAATAACAATAATAGCAACACATTGCACAGAAGCAGGATTGCAAAATTCTGTTACATTTTCCCCCAAAATTCCCAGGTTTTTCAGAAATCCCGGTTGGCAGATTACCGGACACCGAAGGGACTAACTATCAAATCCGCAATCCTTCAACCAGGATTTCTGGAGAACCTGGGAAATTTTGAAACCCTACAAACACAGTGAAAGATCATAGTGCATGTAGCACAGTCACCTCCTTCAGTTACACATCAGGGTTTACACATTCATCTCCCACTGCTCTGCCCAAAGCCACGCACACACACACAATGTGCACGCACGCAGACACATTCACAAGATATTCACTCAACCACACAAATACTGCATCTCAGAAGAAATTATTCAAAACAATGTGCTTCATTCAGTACAGGGTGTGCTTGGGATTGATAAATAAACTATGTTCCCGCAGTGCTTCCACTTCATAAGTTAATACAAATATACAGTAAAAAGAGACTAGTTTTGTTGGGGGAATGTCCGATGGATAACACACCCGTTTATTTTGAGTTGAACAGTCCGTCCGCACAAAGAAACGCTCCGGGAATTCTCAAGACAGTCCCGACAGACAGCACACCAAGGCCCGCCCCCACAGCCAGCACTTGGAAGTCCCATTGGCTAGAGCCAAGAGGCCACCAGTAAACATCCAGGTGCATCCCAAGTCCAAGGCCTCTCACCGTGTGCTCATCACTCTTCCAATCAAAGTGCTCAGACGAAGAAAAGGCGCTGCTTACCGACATTCCTTCCGCCTTTGGGTCCCCATGGTGTTGGTGCGTTGATTGTTGAATCCTTATAAGTTGTGCAATCTGTCAATCAAAGCAAGAGGACCTGTCAATATACTGGATTGATTAGACATGTACACATTAATCTCAGGACCTTGTCTAAATGGTTTAAAGTGATGTATCTAAGGAGACACCGTTAGGGAACTCAACACTAAGTGAATGGGCTGTACCTTTTTCTACTGGGTTTGACCTCCCAGCCATCACGACACTTGACGTACGTGATAACCTGTCCTGGAGAGATCTCAGTCACTGAGGGGTCCTGGGCACAGAATGTGAACCTACACAAGCACAAACAAGGAAATGAAACAAGGAAACAGGTCAATACAAAAAGACAACATAATAGAGCAGCAGACTTAAGATACAAAACAACCAAATCCCAGTTCAAAGTGAAAATACACTGAATGTTAAAACGGCAAGATGCAGTTGATTCAAAACTAAAATTACTCCATTTCCTGATTTATAAAGAAAGGTCGTTTTGATTGAGTGTATTATCAAATCAAAAGATGGCCGACTCTGCTTGGCGAACCAACCATAGAAATACAATTACTAGAACGAAATCCCTATTCTGAACTCCTTTTCCATTCTAGTAATTCTATGGAACCGACCACTCATTGAACGGCATATGAAAAACGTACTTCTTCTGCGTTTCTCCACACTTGACACGGATCCTGCGGACCTCCAGCACCTGGTTGGTGGTCGTGCTGTTGCTGTTCCAGGACCAGAAGGACTTCTTTATGTTCTTCCAGAAGGACCCTAGGGACTCGGTCACCCCCTCCCAGCTCAGACGAATCTTCAGCAGGTCCCCGATGTCGTCCTCGGTGAAGACCAGGAAGGTGTTGGTTAGGTTCAGACCCACTTTGTTTGGACTGGAGGGGGAGAGGAGAGGGCCACAAAAAGGGTCAATCACAGGTCATCGTCTAGATACAGTAAAATAGTATTCACTTATTTGCCATTACACTTTTGTGCAGTAATAATAAAAAGGTGTTTTTATTTGCCCCATTTCACACGTATACATAATTTAAGTGTGTGTTTTATATGCCAGTGTGAATTGGAAATGTGTTTTTTTGCATACCCCAAAGGGTCACGACCAGGATCAGCCATTATCAACAGCGATCCTGGAGCAACTTGGGTTAAGTGCCTTGCGCAAGGGCACAGATTTTTCACCTTGTCGGCTCGGGTATTTGAAGACCTTTCGGTTACTGGCCCAACGCTCTAAAGGGGGGGGGAATTCCGACCCGAATTAAAAAACCACTCTTAAATGGAATGCAATTCCCTTTCTATGCACCCTTCTCTCTATGCTTATTCTGACCTTGAACTTAAGCATGATATTCACCTGCTATTCGTTTGCGGTGGAGATCGAATAAATGAAGGTGGTGTCTACAGATACACCACCTTTTTATTAATTTTTTACCCCTTTTTCGTGATATCCTATTGGTAGTTACAGTCTTGTCCCATCGCTGCAACTCCCGTATTGACCCGGGAGACGAAGGTTGAGAGCCATGCGTCCTCCGAAACACGACCACGCCAACCCGCACGGCTTCTTGACACACTGCTCGCTTAACCCAGAACCCGGCCGCCACAAGGAGACGCTAGAGTGCGATGGGACAAGTACATCCCAGCCGGCCAAACCCTCCCCTAACCAGGACAACGCTGGGCCAATTGTGCGCCGCCTCATGGTCTCCCGGTCGCGGCCGGCTGCAACACAACCCTGGGAACGAATCCGGATCTGTAGTGACGCCTTTAGCACTGCGATGCAGTGCCTTAAATCGCGGCGCCACTCGGGAGGCCTAGATACACCATGTTCTGACCTTGACTTCATTCCCTCATAATTCCACAACCTTTGAGCACGAGGAAACCATGAATAAGGTCAAGCGAAACTGCCTGTTCCAAGTGGAAAAATAATTTACCCCCCCCACCCCCAGATAAAAATATAATTCTCCATGCACTGTAATTTATACATTGATAAGAGCTAGGCCAATTAGTAATCCATTTGGAGAAGGGAATTGTGAATCACAGGAGGTTGGTGGTCCCTTAATTGGGGAGGATGGGCTCGTGGTGATGGCTGGAGCAGAATGGTATCAAACACATGGTTTTATTTTACAATTTCTATCGTGTTAAATATTAGCCACTAGCGACAGCCACCGTAAGTAATACCCACATACATTTATAAACTGTCACGTTAGTGTTAGTGTCCTTCAACTTGAAGCCTTCATTTTGCGTAATTCCATTCACCCTTGTTTCCTCCGTCACGTCAGTGTGGTTGTTCCCGAGGGTCGCTAGCATTAGTGGATCATATTAGGCTAATGTTTTACAAGTTGTGCAATAATTTGGGACATATAACCCATTTTAATCATTATGAACTCAGACCACACACACACACACACAGCAGTTTAAACCTGGAGCAAGTTTCACGACGCCATCAATACAGTTCCATGATTAGTGAGGATTATTAGGACTACTGGTCAACCCCTATTGTACACTTCTCATCTTCCAATATTTCATAGATTGTACCTGAATATGACAACTTTCAGGATGAATCAAACCACTATTTTGGTGTGTAAAGGCTCCCCAAACCTGTTTATTATTTCTTATGATTCACACATGTTTCTAACCCAAAACGATCTACTGAGTATTTTAAAATCTACCAGTTGGTGCTGAAACCAACATATATGCATATATTTAGATGCTTTCTTTCACTGATCCCTATATTCTGAACCCGTTTTCTCCATGTATTCTAGCGAGCCTGTCGGCAATTCTAATTTTTAAAAAAAATAACGCCGTATTTAAAAGGCATTAGATAAATATACTGAAAAACTCTATTGAATGAAGACACATAGAACATTTGTTCGCCAGCAAGCGTGATGGTGTTCAGCGGTTGAATTAAACATTTATTCAGTGCGTGAAACCGGGAACCACGCCTGAAAAGCCTATTACAAAACATGCATAAGGCAAGTCTGAATACCAAATCACTAAGTGCGTAGGAAAGCCGTATATATATTTCCTAAGTCTGAATCAGGCCCAAAACCGCTAAGCTACCTGCCACTGAGTACAGCAGTACTCACATGTCTACATGCAGGTCATCGGTGTCATCGTGAGCGCCATACAGCTTGACGTGGAAGGTCGGGTCAGCATCGTCAGCCTGCTTTCTGTTGAACACGTGCATCTTCATCTGGTAATGGATGCCTAGGGCGGGACAAACGCAGCAGGACAAATAGATATCACAGGGCAGAGGCATAAAACAGGAGATATACAGTAGCTTTATGACTGCAAGATGTGAATGGGTCATACAAATAAGAGGTTCAGAGATATAGCTTGGCTACTGGTAAAAGTACTGATAAGGTGCGTTATATTCAAGTGATAATGCCCGAGAAATTGGTGTCTGGAGGATATTGGCACAGGTGTTACGCCTGAGACGAAGTAGAGAAACCGTGCCAATATCCTCCAGACACCTGCTTAGAGGGCATCACTTTTATGCAACAGGTCACCAACATTTTCAAATAATGATAGACTTTTTTTTTTTTTTTGTTACTTGAACATATTCATACCATTACATCCTTCCACGAGATATACAGTACCAGTCGAAAGTTGACGCCTACTCACTAAAAATTTTTATTTTAACTATTTTCTACATTGTAGAATAATAGTGAAGGCATCAACACTATGAAATAACACATATGGAATCATGTAGTAACCAAAAAAAGTGTTAAACAAATCAAAATATAATTTTAGAATTTTCAAGTAGCCACCCTTTGCCTTGACAGCTTTGCACACTCTTGGCATTCTCTCAACCAGCTTCATGAGGAATGCTTTTCCAACAGTCTTGAAGGAGTTCCCACATATGCTGAGCACTTGTTGGCTGATTTTCCGTCACTCTGCGGTCCGACTCATCCCAAACCATCTCATCCCAAACCATCTCAATTGGGTTGTGGTCGTATGATTGTGGAGGACAGGTCATCTGATGCAGCACTCCATCACTCCTTCTTGGTAAAATAGCCCTTACACAGCCTGGAGGTGTGTTGGGTCATTGTCCTGTTGAAAAGCAAATGATCGTCCCTCTAAGTCCAAACCAAATGGGATGGCGTATCGCCGCAGTAGCCATGCTGGTTAAGTGTGCCTTGAATTCTAAATAAATCACAGACCTTGTCACCAGCAAAGCCCCCCCCCCATGCTTCACCGTGGGAAGTACACATGCAGAGATCATCCGTTCACCTACTCTGCGTCTCACAAAGACACAGCAGTTGGAACCCAAAATTTGGACTCAGACCAAGGGACAGATTTCCACCAGTCTAATGTCCATTGCTCGTGTTTCTTAGCCCAAGCATGTCTCGTCTTCTGATTGTGTCCCTTAGTAGAGGTTTCTTTGCAGCAATTCGACCATGAAGGCCTGATTCACGCAGTCTCCTCTAAACAGTTGATGTTGCGATGTGTCTTACTTGAACTCTGTGAAGCATTTATTTGGCCTGCAATTTCTGAGGTTGGAAACTAATGAACTTACCCTCCACAGCAGAGGTAATGCTGAGTCTTCCTTTCCTGTGACTGTCCTCACGAGAGCCAGTTTCATCATAGCGCTTGATGGTTTTTGCGACTGCACCTGAAGAAACTGTCAAAGTTCTTGAAATGTTCCAGATTCACTTCATATCTTAAAGTGATGGACTGTCATTTCTCTTTGCTTATTTGAGCTGTTCTTTACATAATATGGACTTGGTATTTTACCAAATAGGGCTATCTTCTGTATACCCCCCCTACCTTGTCACAACACAACTGATTGGCTCAAACGCATTAAGAAGGAAAGAAATTCCACAAATGAACTTGTTAATTGAAATGCACTCCAGGTGACTACCTCATGAAGCTGGTTGAGAGAATGCTAAGCGTGTACAAAGCTGTCAAGGCAAAGGGTGACTATTTGAAGAATCTCAAATATATTTTGATTTGTTTAACACTTTTTTGGTTACTACATGATTCCATGTGTTATTTCATAGTTTTGATGTCTTCACTATTATTCTACAAATGTAGAAAATAGTAAAAATAAAGAAAAACCCTTGAATGAGAAGGTGTGTCCAAACTTGACTGGTACTGTAGTCCCGAACCAAATCTAGGGTTGCTACCCTAGCCGGCTGATCGTTCGTTCTATCGGTTCGCTTGCCAGAGACACGCCAAGTATTTTTGTTTTAGAATCTATGGACGTGACCCAGGCGTTCGTTCTAAATGTTCCGTTGCCATGACGGTTGGCAACATTCTTATCCCTTGCTCTCTAGCCAGCAAACTTCGGCTAACAGTCACGTCAAACAGTGCAACCAGAATAACAGCAAAGTAGCTGACTTTCCATTTGTTTAAGCTGTTTAGGTATTGTTGGGGGGGATACATCCATAACAATGAGCTGATGTGCGATTTCGCCTGGTATAGAGCAATTGCGCTCTTGCCAGGATACTGTTCAGAGGAGCTAGCCAACTACACACCCAACACAATCACTTCAAACTAAAGCTGGAATGAAAACTAGCTGAATTTCGTGTTTTTCCATTGACATCTCTGTGTGTGATTGTATGTATACATACACACACTGAACAAAAACACAACAATGTTACGGAGTTACAGTTCATATAAGGAAATCAGTCAATTGAAATAAATTATTAGGCCCTAATCTATGGATTTCACATGACTGGGAATACAGAAATGCATCTGTTGGTCAATGATACCTTAAAAAAAAAGGTAGGGCCGTGGATCAGAAAACCAGTCAGTATCTGGTGTGACCACCATTTGCCCCTCATGCAGCGCGACATCTCCTTTTCATAGAGTTAAATCAGGCTGTTGATTGTGGCCTGTGGAATGTTGTCCCACTCCTCTTCAATGGCTGTTCGAAGTTGCTGGATATTGGCGGGAACTGGAACACGCTGTCGTACACGTCGATCCAAAGCATCCCAAACATGCTCAAATGGGTGACGTGGCTGGTGAGTATGAAGGCCATGGAAGAACTGGGACATTTTCAGCTTCCAGGAGTTGTGTACAGAGCTTTGCAACACCGGACCGTGCATTATTATTCTGAAATATGAGGTGATGGTGGCAGATGACTGGCACGACAATGGGCCTCAGGATTTCGTCACGCATCTCTGTGCACTGAAATTGCAATCGATAAAAAAATGCAATTGTGTTAGTTGTCCAATTTATGCCTGCCCATACCATAACCCCACCATGAGGCACTCTGTTCACAACGTTGACCTCAACAAACCGCTCACCCACACAACGCCATACACGCTGTCTGCCATCTGCCTGGTACAGTTGAAACCGGGATTTCACCCATGAAGAGCGCACATCTCCAGCGTGCCAGTGGCCAGCGAAGGTGAGCATTTGCCCACTGACTTCGGTTACGACGCCGAACTGCAGTCAGGTCAAGACCCTGGTGAGGACGATGAGCACCCAGATGAGTTTCCCCGAGACGGTTTCTGACAGTTTGTGCAGAAATTCTTCAGTTGTGCAAACCCAGTTTCATCATGCTGTTTAAATCAGCTTCTTGACATGCCACAACTGTCAGGAGAATGGATTATCTTGGCAAAGGAGAAATTCTCAGTAACAGGGATGTAAAGAAATGTGCGCAAAATTAGAGAGAAATATGCTTTTTGTGCGTATGGAAATTGTCTGGGATCTTTTATTTCAGCTCATGAAACCAACACTTTACATGTCGCATTTATATTTGGAAAAGCTGCCTGCCTGTAAGCCTCGTCCCGACGCATTAGACAGCTGGAGCATAGGCGAACTTGCCACTGGGGAATGTCCCCCCAGGATTCAGAACAGGTCGAGTCCCCCTTCCCCCCCAATAATTTATTTCAATAAAATAAATTAAAAGATATGTTTTGGTTGAACCCCTGAAGGTCGGGGGCCGCATATGAACACATCAGCAATGACAAAATGTGTAGAATTGCAGGAAATTTGCTTTAAACTCCTCCCCTTTCTCAATTGTCAAACAGTAAATGGGGTGTGCCTTTGGCGGTTCATCAATGCGTCATTCTGATCATGCGCGCCGCGACCAACGTAGCAAGTTCGTCAGCTAAGCTAGCCAGTAACAGTAAGACATTGAAAGTCTGTATCCAAATATCTTATTCATACATTTTTGGGGGTCTAAGCATTAAAAATGACCTGGTATGACGGTGCATTGATCAGTTACAGTTTGCCTGAAGTGGACCTTTAAAAAAGGTAACTGTCCAGAGTTTCCACAATTAAATTACTATGAGTGAAATAGTTTCTTCCAAAAACGATAATTAAGCGTGTTAAAAAGTCAGCTTTTGTGTTGGAATGGTGTGGGTGTATACCGGTCATAAAACATATTGTCCAGCTCATCCTCCTCGGGAGGATGCCATCAGCCTCTAAGGAAATGGCATTTCTGAAACTGTTTGTTTGAGATACAAGTTTAAGGTTTAAGTGTTTTCTTCTCTCCAATGCTTTGGCCACAAATAGGAGTATACGAGTCAAGAACATTATTTGGGTATGAGTTAAAAATAATATTAACTTTTAAAAGTGAGATTTTCACTGGACGGTTTCTTTATAACTGCAAACACTTTGTCAATAACAGCTGGTTTCACCTGGTTTTGCTCACCTGAGTATCTCAAGCTGTAGACAATTTAGATGAGAGTTCTCATCTATATTTTTCGTAGCTGTCTGTTACCGCCACAAACCGATGCTGGCACTAAGGCCGCACTCAACGAGCTGTATAAGGCCATCGGCAAACAAGAAAACGCTAATCCAGAGGCGGCGCTCCTAGTGGCCGGGGACTTTAATGTAGGAAAATGTAAATCCGGTTGACATGTGCAGGCAAAAATAATTTGGACGTTTATTTTTTTTTATACTCACTCTACACCCTCCATTTGGAAAATCTGACCATAATTCTATCCTCCTGATTCCTGCTTATAAGCAAACTAAAGCAGGAAGTACCAGTGACTCCCTCAATACGGAAGTGGTCAGATGATGCAGATGCTAAGCTTCAGGACTGTTTTGCTAGCACAGACTGGAATATGTTCCGGTATTCATCCGATGGCATTGAAGAGTACACCACATCAATCACCGGCTTCATCAGTAAGTGAATCGATGAAGTCTTCCCCACAGTGACCGTACGTATATACCCCAACCAAAAGCCATGGACTACAGGAAACAACCACACTGAGCTAAAAGGGTAGAGCTGCCACGTTCAAGGAGCGGGACTCTAAACTGGACACTTAAGAAATCCTGCTACGTCTTCCGACGAACCATCAAACAGGCAAAGTGTCAATACATGACTAAGATCTGATGCTCGTCGGATATGGCAGGGCTTGCAAACTATTACGGACTACAAAGAGAAGCACAGCCACGAGCTGCCCATTGACACTAGCCTACCAAACAAGCTAAATGACTTATATGCGCGTCGAGGCAAGCAACGCTGAAGCATGCATGAGAGCACCAGCTGTTCCGGACAACTGTGTGATCACGCGCTCCGTAGCCGATGGGAGTAAGACTTTTAAAACAGGTCAATACTCGCAAGGCCAGACAGATTACCAGGACTTTTACCCAGAGCATGCGCTAACCAACTGGCAAGGTTCTTCACTGACATTTTCATCCCGTCCCTGACAGAGTCTGTAATACCTACATGTTTCAAGCAGACCACCATAGTCCCTGTGCCCAGGAACGTTAAGGTACCCAGCCTAAATGACTACCGCCCGTAGCACTCACTTCTGTAGCCATGAAGCGCTTTGAAAGGCTGGTCATGGCTCACATCAACACCATCCCAGAAACCCTAGACCCACTCCAATTCGCCCCAACAGATGACTCAATCTCGATTGCACTCCACACAGCCCCTTCTCACCTGGACAAAAGGAACACCTACATGAGAATGCTGGTCATTGACTACAGCTCAGCATTCAACACCATAGTGCCCACAAAGCGCATCGCTAAGGACCCTTGGACTAAACACCTCCCTCTGCAACTGGATCCTGGACTTCCTGACAGGCCGCCCCCAGGTGGTAAGGGTAGGTAACAACACGTCTGCCACGCTGATCCTCAACACTGGGGCCCCTCAGGGGTGCGTGCTCAGTCCCCTCCTGTACTCCCTGCTCACCCACGACTGCGTGGCCAGGCACGACTCCAACACCATCATTAAGTTAGCCGACAACACAACAGTGGTAGGCCTGACCACTGACAACGATGAGACAGTATATTGGGAGGAGGTCAGAGACCTGGCAGTGTGGTGCCAGGACAACAACCTCTCCCTCAATGTGACCAAGACAAAGGAGATGATCGTGGACTACAGGAAAAGGAGGGCCAAGCATGGCCCCATTCTAAATTGACGAGGCTGTAGTGGAGCAGGTTGAGAGCTTCAAGTTCCTTGGTGTCCACATCACCAAACTATCATGGTCCAAAACAGTTGTGACGAGGGCACGACAACACCTACTCCCCCTCAGGAGACTGAAAAGATTTGGCATGGGTCCTCAGATCCTCAAAAAGTTATACAGCTGCACCAAAGAGCATCCTGACTGGTTGCGTCACCCCCTGTTATGGAAACTGCTTGACCTCCGACCGCAAGGCGCTACAGAGGGTAGTGCGTACAGCCCAGTACATCACTGGGGCCAAGCTTCCTGCCATCCATGACCTCTATACCAGGCGGTGTCAGAGGAAGGCCCTAAAAATTGCCAAAGACTCCAGCCACCCTAGTCATACTGTCCTCTCTGCTAGCAAGCGATACCGGAGGGTCAAGTATAGGTCCAAAGGGCTCTTTAACATTTCTCTGCCCAATGTCAAACATTTGAAATGCATTAAGTTGACCAGCTAACCCCAGCTCACCTCCGAAAGGTGTTGGCAGCACGGGTCTTCAGGTACATCTTGCAGTTGCGCCGCTTCCTCATCTTCTTGGTGTTGTAACCAATGTTGTTGCAGCGATTCTTACGGCAGCTCAGGCAGATGCCCTTCTTGAAGCGTTCGGGGTCGGTGCACTGGTAGGCAAGGCTCATGTACTCGTTGCTCATCAGGGAGTCCACAAACAGGAGCACAGACCGCTCGTGCTCACACTTAATCACATCCATGAAGCCTGAGGAGGAAAGAGTTGTAAGCAACAGGGGAACAGCTAACTAACCACATGACAAGCAGCCTACAGACAACTCCCATCTAGCCAAAGGAAAACAGCAGAATAGACCAGTCCCAATAATCTCTCCTTTCTCCCAAAGTGTGCACTTGTTCACTTCCCTTCATGGATTTGAAAGGCAATGACTGGTATATGGAAACTCCCTCCAGCCTATACCAATCCAATGATTTTAGACTGGTGAGGACACACCAGGAGAAAAGGACATATTGGGACACCCGCAGTGACTTCTTCCTGTATCTCACTCCTATGTGTGGGTACTCACTTCCTCCAGTGGCACTGGTCAGCACCTCACTCAGGGCGCAGCCTGGTTGCACGTCTCCGCCGTTGGGGTAGATGTCGACGTCTCCGATGGGCTGCTGGATCCCGATGCTCACACCCAGCGCCTCACGCGTGTACGTATGCAGGATGTCCACAAAGTCCGCGTCGCCCGATGAGAGGCGCTTATCATCCCCCACCCCCTCAAACATGGGCCCTGCCGGGTCTAGACCTATAGGAGAGATGGGAGAAACAGGAACGTCTCATTTGGTGGACAAGAGAGGAGTGTGTTGAAGATCTATAGGCTTACAGCCACCTGCAGTCAATCCACCGTGACTATAGTCACGTCTTAACACATCCATTCCTCCATAAAGACATGTCGATGCTAAGGCGGTGCTGGTTTAATATTTGACTATATGGAGTTTGATTTAAAGGGGATTGGCACCATTCCAAAGGTTCAGACCGTTTGCCTTTTCAGAGTCTTGAGGAGCAACAGTGAATGATGTCATATAACCCTCCTGCCACTTACCCGTGATTCTGCCGACAGTCCCTCGCACAGACGTTCCGGCATGGCCCGCCACGTGGGCCCCCAAGCTGTAGCCAATCAGGTGCACATTCTGCAGGGGCAGCTGCTGTTCCTCCTATCGGATACAAGACAACCCACATCAGCTGCTGCCACACACAACAAGACTTGGCCCTCAGCCAATAGTTCCCTGGGCACCAGCCAATCCTAGTGGAGATAATGACGGCAGAATATGCACTTCCACCTTCTGCTTGTCTCTGAAGGCAGTCTGTCTACGCCACTACCCACAGCGTGAACCTGGGCTTGCGTGTCCTCGCCTGTTAGGGGGACAGAGCCTGCAAGCCTGGCCTGAATGAGACATAGGATGCAGCCCAATACTGTTAAATGGCCTACTTTCCCCTCAAATCATCCATCTGAATAGACTAGATACCAGAGTTCCCGCCCACACCTGAAAACATTGCCAGCTGTTCTGTTCATAAGGGAAACTTCCCAGACAGCAAATCCTGCACATCACTACTACTGTAGTCAGCTGGCTGGACTGGAAGGGTGTCGGGATACTCAGCTGTCCTCTATGAGCCCTGGATCCATCTCCGCTCGCTAAACTACTGGAGACAGTCCTGGGCCTAGTTTCCCCAGAGCCTTTGTAGCGTTAAGATCATTAGAACCATCTTTAGTAGCCAATCTGTTTCCCAGAACTTTGATCTAGACCACTCGTAGGTCAGCCAAAGTGCATCGTCAGATTCTTTTGCTCTTCCACGTCCCTTTATTCACAGAAGATCTCCGCTAAACATAGAATCAAGATGTTTAGGCTAGGCATCCATCTGACCGCCGATAACTTCAGAACCAAGTTGACTACAAAATACCAAGTTGCCAAAGTATTTGCAATTGTTACAAACATGTGAAAGATACAAATGATGCTTCAAATTGAACAACAGATGACTGCATTAAGGAGCCACTCGGCTATGGTCTCGTTTCAGCCTCAATACATTTCATGATGTGTACCAAGATGTGCCCAATCTATGATTTAGTGCATTATTATTATTGGGTAAGCATAATAAGCCACCTCAATATTTGCATTTCTCTCTAGGAGCTGATCCGTAGTCAGTATTGTGGAATAATTATAATGTTAAGGTAAGATTTGAGTGGAGAAGGCTGATCCGAGAGCAGCTTTTCTTTTGATCAGTTTCGAGACGTGTTCTAACGACGCACTTAGCGAACAGTCTCTCTACGTGCTTGTTCGGGAAAAACACTTTAAAAAGTTGCCTCGTAAATAATGATGCAACTGGTACGATCATCGTAATGCTTAAGTTACGTCGAAACTAGAAAACGAGGCCCCTGTACTGTCGCACATTAATCATTCAGATAAAATGTCCCTAAGAGAGAAACACGTCACCCCTTAGTGTCCCATGAACGCTCTCAGTACGCGTAAGCTTAGAGATCAATGTATTCAACAGCCCTGCTCACCAACTCGACAGCGTAGGACACCGCCGAACAATCAAATCAATCCAATCACACACACCTGGAGCCAGTTGATGGTGGTGGCGACACTGAGGCCGACTTGGTGGGTGTGGTTGACAGCGTCGGGGTAGAGCTGGTGGGCCATGGGCAGCCAATCAACGATGACCACGTTGGCCTCCGGCTCTCGCTGCATCATGGCCGCCACCAGCTTCCGCATCCAACTCTCAAACATCCCACTCATCTGTAGAGGAGAGAGCAAGTCAGCGATCCTCAAACTTTCACACTCCTAACACTCTGCCCTTGGGCCCGCTAACCCGTCGCACATAAACCTCTGACAATCATACAAAACCCTTTGGAGAAGAGCAACCCCCTCCCTAACAGACATCAAAAGGCTCACTGAAGCAAACTGTGTGACAAAGGGAATGGAGGGCTGTCTATGAGGGAGAGGGGATAAGGAGTGTGTTCTTCTGTTTACCGTCCAACCGTGGATGATGAAGAAGGTCTTGGCTGTGACGTTGAAGCCACACTCCTGCAGACTCCTCTTCTCACCAGGCAGCAGGATGCAGCCGTCCACGTCTAGATCCAGGCTCTTCCTCATGTTGTATGTGATCCTGTCATGGAGCGCCTCGTCACCGTATAGCACTTGAAACGCCTCATCTAGGAGAGAGACAGCGAGAGAGCATTAGGATGCGCAACATCTCTAGGTGCATGAAAAAAAAAAAAAAGTCTGATGATCATGCAAGATTCCTACACACATTCCACTTGAATAATCACATTTATTCATAAAGCTCTTTTTATATCAGCAGATGTCAAAGTGCTATACAGAAACCCAGCCTAAAACAGCAAGCAATGCAGACGTAGAAGCATGGTGGCTAAGAAAAACTCCCTAGAAAGGCAAGAACCTAGGAAGAAACCTAGAGAGGAACCAGGCTCTGGGGGGGTGGCCAGTCCTCTTCTGGCTATGCAGAAATAAACAAAGAAAAAGGTATTTACAAATATGAGCTGTTCATTCAGACCCTTTGGCTCGACGCAATCTAAGCAGTCGATCCAAAGTGCTTCTAACAATTGTCAATAAATTGCCACCTCTGCAGGAAAGAAACATCGTCTATTCCCCGGAATTTCAAGGTAGAGGCTGAGCCACGATTGACATTCACATAACGCCGCGCGACCGCATAGCCACTCTTCTTAATCTGAGGGAGCGTTTCTACTGAACAACGTAAACAAGCCCACATGGGCATTAGAGCGTGTAAACATGTGTTGTACTACAATTTATAAAGTATTTTATTCTTCACCCGAACATGGGTGATTGAATACTTGTGTCACTTGAGTTGGAACAATGTGTACAATGTCTGCAGGGGTAGAAGCCATTAGGGGGACCTGGGAGCCAGGTAGAGGGGGAAGGTGCCGGATTCGGGAACACACTGCACAACGCGATCTCTCTGATATTGCGACCCCCCCCTCCTAAAGCATACCAGGGGAGGGTTAGACGCAAAAAAGTCTGAGCGAGGCGTCACTCTGGAGAATTTGCCAGCGTTTGAGGATCGCGCTTTTTATCTGCCTTGCAGACTGGTTGAATTCAGTGGAAAAATAATCCCTAGCAGATCTCACATTTGTTTTCTTTGGTGAGGAGGGCGGCTCCACCAGTGTCTCGTGCTTATGAGCCATGTTGAAGAGACTCACTATAGCCGTGTTCAAGGAACCTCATTATTTAGTCTCAAAATAATTTGCTGCAGTTTCGCATTAGTCTAGGAAATGACTAGTAGGAATATTGCGTTTTAGGACGATTACTGTCATATCCGCACTAGATGGCGCGCACGAGCAAGATTAAAACATCATTGCGCGAGCGAGCAAACGCTTGAGTCGAGAAAGAAGAAATGTGATCGAGCGAGCAGAGAACAGGTTCCGCAAATACAGGCCAGCGAGGCTGCGCGCAAATTAAACTTGAGCGCTTAGGAGTGTGACTGAGCAGAACTGCGTTTTCACACGCAGTAAATTAATTAAAAAGAGCAGAGAATTGTTTGCCTGAAGAAATACTTACTACATGTCAAGACTCAGAAATAAAAAAGGAGGTAAGTTCGATGGTTCGCTAGTTTCTCCACTGAAAAACTAACTAATCAACTAGGATTTCAATATAGAAATTTAAGTAGGCAGTTATTTGGTCTTTTATTAAAGCAGGCAAGCTAGGTGAACCTCAGCTAGCTAGCTAATGTTAGCTAACTAACCAAAGCTGCGGTCTATTGGTTAGAAAGATGGTTCTATACTGAAGGTATGTGATGGGCATTGCTAAACAATATGAGTAGTGTAGGTAAGGGTGGAAGTGATGAACTTATAGGAGGATAGCTCCTGCGCATCCGAGTGTCAGCGTCACTCTTACCATGGAATTGCCCCACATCTTATCACTTATTTGGCTAAATTATTAACCATAGTTTCCTCTTGATACAGCAGTCTTAAAATGGACTGCTACCTCGAACGCAACATTAAGGGCTCCCGAGTGGCGCAGTGGTCTAAGGCACTGCATCTCAGTGCTTGAGGCGTCACTACAGACCCCCTGGTTCGATTCCAGGCTGTATCACAACCGGCCGTGATTGAGAGTCCCATAGGGCGGCGCACAATTGGCCCAGCGTCATCCGGGTTTGGCCGGTGTACGCCGTCATTATAAATAAGAATTTGTTCTTAACTGACTTGCCTAGTTAAATAAAGGTAAAAAAAAAAAATGTTAAAACATTTAAACTCAAATTGAATGCATTTTCCTCTCTCACTCCAGTTGATCTCAGGAGACAGTTCAGTGTAAAGAGAACACATTTGACCAGGTGGAGTCAGGCTTCTACTTCATCACCCTGGACCACTACACCAACGAGGCAGAGGACCTCAAGTTTGGACCAGTGAGTCACCAACTCATGTTATGCCTCACAACTCCGCACATCTGTGTCGCGCCACCTTCCTCAAATTCCAGCGCCATACTTTTGTTTAGCAAGGTCTACAGATTGTACAAGGATTTTAATTTGGGACTTCGACTGCGTGCTAAATTTAATTAAATCTCCCGTATTGTTCTGCCCTCGCTATAGATTATGCAGATGCCTGACTAAAAACCTGGAGATCTTCACTGGTTCTGAGGGAGGTGACGTGGCCACAAAGTGCCTGGGACACCTTCCAGCGCTACTGCTGTCTAGAGAACAGCCAGAGGGGGGTCAAGACATCTGTCTGGAGAACAGCCAGAGGGTGGTCAAGACATCTGTCTGGAGAACAGCCAGAGGGTGGTCAAGACATCTGTCTGGAGAACAGCCAGAGGGTGGTCAAGACATCTGCCCCAACTTTAGTGTCAGCTATGCTGCACCTGGGAGCTAAAAAGGTATGGCACCGCACTCCAAACAGTCATATATGCTAAAAACAGACTTATGCTCATTTATGTGTTTCTTAAAAGGGGCAATCATCTAGTTTAAACAACAACAAAGCGTTCTCCTCACCCGTTTCGTAAGAAGCTGAGGGACGGGGGCTGGAGAAATGGAACCACTCAAAATTCATAGACAGAGCCATGGATGCAAGGACTGACCATCACGCCTCCTAAAACCCCTTTGAAGGAGACGACCCAAAGTTCCTCGCCTACAACCTCCTCCAGTGGGTTTTGAGAACGACGCGAGGGGAGTGAGGAGTTGAGCAGAGATTAATTGAGACAGGGCTCAATGTCATTGTTTTAGGTGGAATCTGATGTTGAAAGACAATTATTCCGTTTGCGCTCATATCCTTGTTCTACTAGTGCCCTTTCCACAGATGGTTCTGGCTTGCTGATAACATCCGATGACTCCTCTGTTACTGACTATTCAATAAAAACGTCCAATGTCAAATATAAATACAATGTGCCATTCTATAATTGGTAGAGCATGGCGTTTGCAACGCCAGGGTTGTGGGTTCGATCCCCACAGGGGGGGGGGGGGGGGCCAGTATGAAAATGTATGCACTCACTAACTGTAAGTCGCTCTGGATAAGAGCGTCTGCTAAATGACTAAAATGTAACACGTAATAGACGATGGTAGTTCCCAATCAGACAATTAGTGTAAAATTTTTTTAAAAAGATAAACTTTTCCAATGTTTGGTGACTATGTCCTGATTCAGTTCTAAACCACCATCATCGAGTCCATCCTCCAAATGGATTGTCTGGTCTGCTGAGGGCCATGGACTGCCATCTATTGGAGGACCTGCACGACTCCAGGGCAAAGGAGGACCTGCACGACTCCAGGGCAAAGGAGGACCTGCACGACTCCAGGGCAAAGGAGGACCTGCACGACTCCAGGGCAAAGGAGGACCTGCACGACTCCAGGGCAAAGGAGGACCTGCACGACTCCAGGGCAAAGGAGCGTGCAGTAAAGCTAATCACCAACCCCTTACACCAAAGATTCCCCTCCGGCAAACAGTTCAGGTCAATCGCGACCAAAAACCTCCTGCCACCGGAATAGTTTCTTCCCCCGTGCCATGACACTCATCAACAGTCCAACTGGTCCTCTCATCCATGGACTCTGCACTACTCACCCTGCACCATCATCCCAAAACTGCACATCTCTTAAAAATGCATAATTTTAGCTTATTTGTTTACATTTTAGTCATTTAGCAGACACGCTTACCCAGAGCGACTTACAGGTGCAATTAGGGTAAAGTGCTTCATTCAAGGGCACACGGGTTTTTCCAGTCGGCTCGGGATTCGAACCAGCAACCTTTAGGTTACTGGGGCAACGCTATTAACCACTAGGCTACCTGCAGCTTCTAGCGTTCATACTATATCTGGATCTGTGGAAATTCTGCATCTATCTACCTACCTACCTACCTACCTACCTACCTACCTATTTAATTTTTTGTCTATATATTCTGTTTGTAGCAGCACCATTTCACAGTCAAATTCCTGTACGTGCAAATGTATTCGGCGAATAAAGCTAATTCTGACACGTTAACCTGAGTTCAGCTGGTTTATCATACGTCAGTTTACATTCTATTATTGGGGTCTCGTTACATACTGAATGAACAGCAGCAGGTAGCGGATTCTCCCATTTGTGCCTGGTTAACCAGTAATGGGCTAGCTAAGTTTAGCGCGTAGATTCCCCTCAAGGTATACTATAGAGCGTTGTGCCAGTAACCGAAAGGTCGCTGGTTCTAATCCCCGAGCTGACTAGGTGGAAAATCTGTCGATGTGCCCTTGAGCAAGGCACTTAACCCTAATTGCTCCTGTAAGTCGCTCTGGATAAGAGCGTCTGCTAAATGACTAAAAATAAATAAATAATAATAAATAAATACCAATTACAATGCATTTCATTTGGTTATCAAGCTGCTGGTTTCCCCAGTCGTACTGCTCAACCCGGCCAGCAAGCTAAACAGACTTCTCTGCAGCGCATCGCAAACAGAACACTCCTAATAGCCAATCACAACACTGGACTGGCCAACGGCAGGAATTAGTTAGTTCGTCCATCACGCCAATGAAAGTGGCCAATCTAACGTTTCTAGACCCCATCCTCAGCCTAAAATCTAAACCTAAAGGTTCCAAGACTTGAGTGTAATTGAGAGTAGTTACTGAAAAGCAGCCTTTGGCAATCCTTTGTGAACTTCCTGAGTTCACCTGTTACTATAGTACAGACCGTGTATAAAGTGTAGGAATGTGCTGTAGGTATCAGGTGGCGTGCACAGACACCCAGCTGCCTCCTACACGGCAAGCTCCGCACTCCAGAACTCCCCCGCACTTTCTTTTATTCCTATCGCCATGTGCTCTTACTGCCACGCGAGATACCGGCAGAGTAAAACTAGACAAAAAGATGATGGTCTGCGTCTCAACAAGGCAAATGCTGTATTCAGGATAGAGTAAATTAGAAATTGCATTAACAATATTTAGATAACTTGTTGTGACTGCCAGACTATTAATTATTCTTGGGAACAGGACACAGTGGACGTCACAAAACTGCTTTCAGCTAGGAAAAACAAACTTTTAAAGATGGTCGAAATGCAATGTTCCATTTTGATTGATTACAGACTTGTATAGCTAACATGTCAATAGTCCGCGGGGCCCTGCGGTTCTCGGTAAAACGCGGAGTCATCGGAAAATCTCAATTCCAAATAGGAACCACAAGATGGGACGTCTTGTCCGGGTTTTACGCCACATCGCGAGCACTTCCCAAGGACACGTATCTCACATTAAAATCCATTCCCGCTCTTCCCAGTCTCCATTATCTCACTTGTTCCTCGTTGTACAATCAATGCAATTAAAACCCAGACAACCCGTGCCAATTGGTTAAATTGAAAATTAACTTAGTCCCCTGTAGCTCAGTTGGTAGAGCATGGCGCTTGCAACGCCAGGGTTGTGGGTTCGTTTCCCACGACTGTAAGTCGCTCTGGATAAGAGCGTCTGCTAAATGACTAAAATGTAAATGTAACTCTGGATAGATGTTGGGTACTTTCCATTGAACCTGCTTCTTGTCTGAATGACACCTTCCTCATGGTGTGTAGGATATTGACTCATTCTAGTAATAATAATAATAATATGCCATTTAGCAGACGCTTTAAACAAAGCGACTTACAGTCATGCGTGCATACATTTTTTAACTTATGGGTGGTCCCGGGGATCGAACCCACTACCCTGGCGTTACAAGCGCCATGCTCTACCAATTGAGCTACAGAGGTAGTGGATAGCCTAATATTTAAAATCTAGGTTTACCGAATTCCACAAACTTGGACCTCGGGACCCCAAGGGGTGCACGTTTTGGTTTTGCCCCAACACTACACAGCCGATTCAAATTATCAAAGCTTGATGACTAGTTGATTATTTGAATCAGCTGTGTAGTGTTAGGGCAAAAACCAAAACGTGCACCCCTTGGGGTCCGAGGAGCGAGTTTGGGAAACCCTGGGCTATGCTGTTAAAAAGTGTCAATTAAATAGTCTGATAAGGATTTCATATTCTTACCTTTGAATTGTTCGTTGCCTTCCACTCCCGACGCAATGAGCGCAACTGCACAAAGTAGGAAAATCCACAAAGAACGAGTGACATTTTTCATTTCTTTCTCACGCAAACAAATGTGAAGTCCGTCGATGTAAAGATAATAACAGCTCTTTAACAGTTGTTCGTGTTTTCAGTGCGCTTATGTCCAATTATCCAAGTGACTGTGGTTCGTGCGCGCCGTAGCAGTTGAGTGACCTTGCATCAAGTTGTTCATTAGAGATTTAAATAGTTTCTCCTTTAGTCATCTGATCATCGGCAGAGCGCTACGTGGGGATTCAAGGCTTGCAATTGGTCAATACCCATTTCTTTACGTTTAAAGGCGTGGCGAAGAAATACTGAATTAATTTGTAGTAGGCTGGCGTTGTCTTGAACCCTTTCATGAGCGGTCTCTGAAAGCAAACAATGCCGCCCCTGTATGAGTAGCATACACTGAATAGAACCACTACAGTGACGCATGGAGGACTGGCCAATACCGCGGTCACAACCTGTAGGCATCACAAGTCTAACTGGACCTCTAGTCTCTCCTTCCTTTGGCATCTACCCCATAGTAACCCCTCACGCTTATAGAGGCTTTATTTTTTGACAGTAAAAACACTGAGCAAGTGATGTGGTCGATTTTTTTTGGGAATAGCCTATTGTGTTTCAGAGAGGAAACGTTATTAGTGTAATTTTTACCTTTATTTAACTAGGCAAGTCATTTAAAAACAATTCCTTATTTACAATGACGGCCTACCCCCGGGCAAACCCGGACGACACTGGGCCAATTGTGCGCCGCCCTATGGGACTCCCAATCACGGCCGGTTGTGATACAGCCTGGAATCGAACCAGGGGGGTCTGTAGTGACGCCTCAAGCACTGAGATGCAGTGCCTTAGACCGCTGCGCCACTTCGGGAGCCCAATTGGTGGTGATTATCAATGATTAATTGAAATTGTGTGGCTTCTGGGCTTATTTTGGACAGGTTTTGGCGAGAGTAAAACCTGAAGTGTGGCACGTGGGAAAATGGTGGAAGCGGATGTTCTGTTTGAATCTGATCGCGTGTGGACTGGAGATGAGCGTGATAATTGGATGACAGTGGTGAATGCAAAAGGAAATAAGAGAAATAAAGTTGTAGTGGATTCTAGTAAATCCAAACCTAGATCTGAGTCTTTTTTTGTTTGGAATAATGGTCTTGGATTGATGTTGTTACCTGGGAGATCCGTTTGAAGTCTCTATTAAAATTGTGGATGCGTTGGATGAGGTGGCGTCGATGAGAATTAGGAGAAGTGGGCATATTTCGTTTTTTAATGTGTTTCTATGGAACAGAAGGAGTGTGCTCTGCGCCTCAAGAAGATGTCGGATTGGAATATGCTGTGTGTGGATGGCTGGGGTGGTGCTAGAAGTAAATGCAAAGGATATGCACTACCGGTCAAAAGTTTTAGAACACCTACTCATTCAAGGGTTTTTCTTTATTTGTACTATTTTCTACATTGTAGAATAATAGTGAAGACCCCAAAACTATGAAATAACACATATGGAATCATGTAGTAACCAAAAAAGTGTTAAACAAATCAAAATATATTTTATATTTTAGATTCTTCAAAGTAGTCACCCTTTGCCTTGATGACAGCTTTGCACACTTTTGGCATTTTCTCAACCAGCTTCACCTGGAATGCTTTTCCAACAGTCTTGAAGGAGTTCCCACATATGCTGAGCACTTGTTGGCTGCTTTTCCTTCACTCTGTGGTCCGACTCATCCCAAACCATCTCAATTTGGTTGAGGTCGGGGGATTGTGGAGGCCAGGTCATTTGATGCAGCACTCCATCACTCTCCTTCTTGGTAAAATAGCCCTTACACAGCCTGGAGGTGTGTTGGGTCATTGTCCTTTTGAAAAACAAATGATAGTCCCACTAAGCCCAAACCAGATGGGATGGCGTATCGCTGCAGAATGCTGTGGTAGCCATGCTGGTTAAGTGTGCCTTGAATTCTAAATAAATCACAGACAGTGTCACCAGCAAAGCACCCCCACACCATAACACCTCCTCCTCCATGCTTTACAGTGGGAAATACACATTCGGAGATCATCCGTTCACCTACTCTGCGTCTCACAAAGACACGGCGGTTGGAACCAAAAATCTCAAATTTGGACTCCAGACCAAAGGACACATTTCCACCGGTCTAATGTCCATTGTTCGTGGTTCTTGGCCCAAGCAAGTCTCTTCTTCTTATTGGTAATAATAATAATATGCCATTTAGCTGACGCTTTTATCCAAAGCGACTTACAGTCATGCGTGCATACATTTTTACGTATGGGTGGTCCCGGGGATCGAACCCACTACCCTGGCGTTACAAGCGCCGTGCTCTACCAGCTGAGCTACAGAGGACCATGGTGATTTAGTCGTGGTTTCTTTGCAGCAATTCGACCATGAAGGCCTGATTCACACAGTCTCCTCTGAACAGTTGATGTTGAGATATATCTGTTACTTGAAATCTGTGAAGCATTTATTTGGGCTGCAATTTCTGAGGCTGGTAACTCTAATGAACTTATCTTCTGCAGCAGAGGTAACTCTGGGTCTTCCATTCCTGTGGCGGTCCTCATGAAAGCCAGAGTCATCATAGCGATTGATTCTCCGTATTGACTGACCTTCATTTCTTAAAGTAATGATGGACTGTCGTTTCTCTTTGCTTATTTGAGCTGTTCTTGCCATAATATGGACTTGGTCTTTTACCAAATAGGGCTATCTTCTGTATACCCCCCTCTACCTTGTCACAACACAACTGATTGTCTCAAATGCATTAAGAAGGAAATAAATTCCACAAATGAACTTTTAAGAAGGCACACCTGTTAATTGAAATGCATTCCAGGTGACTACCTCATGAAGCTGGTTGAGAGAATGCCAAGAGTGTGCAAAGCTGTCATCAAGGCAAAGGGTGGCTATTTGAAGAATCACAAATATAAAATATATTTTGATTTCTTTAACACTTTTTTTTCGGTTACTACATGATTCCATATGTGTTATTTCATAGTTTTGATGTCTTCACTATTATTCTACAATGTAGAAAATAGTAAAAATGAAGAAAAACCAGTGAATGAGTAGGTGTTCTAAAACTTTTGACCGGTAGTGTACGTGAAGAATTTGATCAAGTGGTTGTTGCACAATGACTGACCCGCGCATGGTGGCGGGAGCGAGGAAGCCCTCTCCATCCATTCTATTGTTTTTTTGATGAAGAGTCTCTCCCTTCTCACGTGTATTTGGGTGATATGAGATTCCCCGTGAGAGCCTTCGTGCCCAAACCCATGCAGTGTGATAAATGGAAATGATTTGGTAATGTGTCAAGTGTATGTAGACGGCAGGGGTATCGTATGCCAGCTGAGCCTAAATGCTGCAATTGTGGTGGGGAACATGCGCCCGAAATTCCTGAAGTGTCCTGTTATAGGGTGAAGGAGACGGAGGTGGCAAGAATAAGGACTGTCCAGCGTGTCTCGTCCCCGGAGGCGTTGAGAAGAGTGGAAGAAAGGCTTGAAGTTGAAGAAGTAATGGTAGAATGAGTAGAGACACCAGATGATGTTCCTTGCCAACAGAGGGATCCTGACATGTTGCATGTTAAGACGGTGGACTTTGTAGCGTTTATTACTTTGGTTATCAACTGCACAGCGCAAACAGAGAGGAAATCGGAGAAAATAGGCATAATTGTGAGTGCGGCTGAGCATTTTTTTGGGACTCCGGGATTTTTCTGCATAGTCATTACAAGGAAACCTGTCGATGAATGCTCCGTCCTCACAGGCATTCGAGCCTGTGTAGGGATGTGATTTGAATGTGACTGAAGGAGTGGGATGGTTGTTTTGATTTATTTTTGTGTTATGTCGGGTCCCCCGCAATGGAATATTTTTTGTTTCAATACCCCGTACAGTAGGTGGCGGCAATACACCAGTTGGTTATTTGAATCAGCTGTGTAGTGCTAGGGCAAAAACCAAAACGTGCACCCCATGGGGGGCCCCAGGACCATGTTTGGGAAACCCTGGTCTAGGGTGTCGGGTAAGGTGGAGGTGATGTGGTCCTTTAACTAGGCTCTCAAAACAATTCATGATGATAAGTGAGTGCTACGGGGCGATAGTCATTTAGTTCAGTTACTTTCGCTTTCTTTTGTACAGGAACAATGGTGGACATCTTATAATATAATAATAATAATATGCCATTTAGCAGACGCTTTTATCCAAAGCGACGCGTGCATAATTATAATTTTTTTGTGTATGGGGGGTGGTCCCGGGGATCGAACCCACTACCCCGGCGTTACAAGCGCCGTGCTCTACCAGCTGAGCTACAGGTTGTCCCCAACCAGCTTCTTAAAGCAAATGGGGACAACAGACTGGGAAAGATATAGAATGGAGATAATGAATATGGCCGTAAAATATCAATATCATTACACTGCAGTATGGGGTGACCAGAATATGGGTGTCGGTCCTGCTGCTGCAGCCCTGTGGTCTCCAGTCCTGGTGACCTCAGCTGATACCGTGCCGGGGGTCAAGATGACTCCTGCTCCTTACAAGCCCCCACTGCCGAGGTCCTACTGTTGCCTGTTCCTGGGCAGAGGGGGACGCTACCACCGGTCCCACTGCCGCATCCTGTTGGCTCCCCTCTTCCAGAACGGTCTCGCAGCCAGCACTGGCCTCCACCATGACACTCACCGTGGTCTGGCGACCTCAAGCACCTTTGTGACGACGGGGTGGCCAGGTACACCAAGAGACAGTGCTTCTGATGGACCAGTAGCCCGTCTGGTCTACGTCTCTCTGCCTCTTCACGTCATCCCCCTTAGTGACTGTCTGCCCTTGCTGCCCATTGTTGTTGATTTCAAATCTGTAAAAACGGCCAGCTTTCTAGCACTTTCTAGCACCGTAGGCCAGTGAAAAAATATCTCAATGTAATCTATTTTTACATTCAGGCTGTAACACAAGAAAATGTGGGGAAAAATCAAAGGGCTGTGAAAGCTTTCTGAAGGCTCTGTGTGTTAATTTATTTTCTTTCCAGAACCACAGTTATCAGTCCTGAATAGGATTTCAGAATGGTCAGATGTGTGTGTGTGTGTGTGTGTGTGAATGTGGATCTCTCTCCAATTAATCCCAACAACCAGGACATCCGCCTCATCCTTGTTCTGACCGGACATTCTGTAGTGGTTGCTACCGGCAACTCTATTTTTCACCAATGTCTATGTACATAGTTTAATCTGGCAGACT